TAAATGTTTCGTTTAATGTTAACATTACTTGCTGTTAACATTTTTAAGTATAATTAGAAAAGAGCAAAGGGTTGACGATTGGTGACACATACGTTGTTTATTCGCGTGCACGCATAGGGGAGAATAAATTATTAACTTTGCTAGCTGGACTGTCTCTATACTGTGTCAATTGAAGGCAATCGTGACATTGTTCTTTAGTCAGCAATCAATGACTTAAGAATATGAATGAAAATATTGCAATCGAATCAGTAGAGTTTCTTTTTATTGAAAATAACATTCCAAATACTGGGATTTTTCTTCCCCACTAAGCTTCTTCTAACATATTGGTCAATATTATGATAAGTACTTTATTACTCCATCTCGTATACAAATGGTACCATGCGTTTAATTATCTCTACTTTTTCTGGATGTTTGCCCATTGTGGGATCGACCCAAGCAGTCAACAGTTGCTTAAAGTTACTTGTGAGATCCTTAGTGGTGGTCGAAGATGAGGTTGCAGGGACCGGCATAAACTGTTCTAAACAACCATAGATGTTTGAAGATAATCCGAATAATGCAAGTGGTACCTGAAAACATTCTCGGAACGCCGTGATTTCAGCATCTGAGACGTCCTTACTGCCGTCGATTCTAATCTTCTTGATAAATTCATCTCGTGTTGTATCATCATCTGCTTGGTAATCTTTCAGCACTTCTTCGATTTTACGTTTGCACAAGTTAATTTGACGTGTTTGGCGTGCCTTAACCTTAGCAAGCTGGACGTCAACAAATTCTGTTGTTGCACCTAACTGCAAGTACAATGACAAAAATGGCATATGTGGAAGTTTCTCAACACCTATGTACGCTGGTGACAGCAAAGCTGTTGCAGAGAGTAAATAGTTATCGCCATTACTATCCGTAGTCCAATTTTTAACTTGTATTAAGATGTATGAAATATGATCTTCGTTAAGCTTTTCATGAATAGTGCCTATATATATAGGTATGATGATATCTACTCCACGTTGGTTTCGTTTACATGAAAATGCAACACCGCGAATCAGAGCATCCCCGAAAATTTTCCTGCTTGGTGTATACGTAATATTAATAAAGTGTGTAAATCTAATGTATGCTTCACCGAACTTTGTTCCCGTAAACTTTACTTGTTCTTTAAGGCGATCTTCTATTTTTCTATAAATACTTTCTGCAAGTAGTGATTTTAAAAATTCATCCATTGTCACAAAGCGAGAATAATCGTTGCCAACATCCGCACCGCGTGGATGTTTCTTTTTAATGCAGTCATCCCAAGCTCTAAGAAGCAATAACCTGGCAGTAAGCTCTCCATGGTAGCCAGCCTCTACTACACCTTTTTTGAGTGCTGAAGAAAGCTGATTAATAAGCTCTGCGAGACTGACATTTGGATCATTCATCATTCGAGCGGCTGCCTCTGCCAGCACAGGTTCTGTAGGCATCGATGTAGTAATACATTCACGATCTTCTGAGATATTAAGACAAATGTATAAATAATTTGCTATTAAATGAGATGTAAATCTAGATTGTGGCACTATGTCAATACATAGACGGGGTCCAAAAATAGCCAAGGCTTCCATAATACTAATTTTGGTTTGAGCTTCTGTTTTCCAATGAATGAAAGACTTCCCACCAATAAGCTTATCCATGGCCAATTCAATAATACACTCTGGATTAAATCCTTCAGCATCACTGGAAGGAGACAATAGTGCACCCCACAGAGGTCTTCCATATTGAAAGAAATGTCGCGGATCTTCAGACTCTTGTAGTGTCAGTGCTTTTTCAAAAGCAGTATTCATAGTATTCATATCCAGTGTCCAACAAATAAAATGGCTCAAATAATTTAGACCCCTTCGCAGCAACTCTTATGGATGGATCAAGGTAGGAAACAGGTGAGAAGTTTGAAATATTTGAATGTGTGTCTGTAAAGATAGCAAAGATTCCTAACTTTTTTGGTAAAAGTTTTAAAGCACATTGAACATAGTAAAACAGAGTTTTCCTTTCAATGTTCTTATCAACCAGGGAACGAGCTTCATCAAAGGCAAACAAACAATTAACTGAACTTTCCCACATCATCAATTTTCCGCCATCCAAGTAGTTAGTGACCCATTCAGTCATCTTGCTGTCTGTAGGATTCTTCATAAGCCCACGCATAATATCAGACATTCTGTATTCAACATTCTTCCAGAAATCCACCTGTGATTTTTTGTTGATATGTTCATCAAACCACTCTTTGCAACTTCCATTGAATTCCTCTAACCTTTTACAACATGCACATACGTATGCAAGATATGTAACTATGACATCACGTTCATTTTCAAACTCATGTAATAGTATATTGGCAATATGTGATCTGGATGGCACGCAAACAGCAATATACAGTCATTCTATTTTCCGCAAAATTCTTCAATAATTTGGATTTTCCCGTGCCACTGGCTTGAATTAAGGTTGCATATGGTGCATAATAGTCTTTCGTCGTTTCATATTCATATGAACACTTGTCAATAAAGGCCATGAACCTTTCCGACAGGTCACTTGGATCTTGAAAAGGTCTATCAAAAGCCACCCGGACGATTTCCTCTTCTTCGCTTTCAGTACTATCTACCGACGGCTCTAACACACCCTCTTTACCTAACACGGTAGGTTTTGATAACAGAAAAAAAGAGATGAAAAAGGATGCAAGAAGAGAAAGAAGGATTAGTTGTGAACAGCATATCAAGTTGTTCAAATGGACGGACAGACAAAAATAGACACAAATTTCCACGATGGTTGAATATGTAGGAAGAGATATAATAAATACGACAAAATATCAGAATGAGTGTCAAACAACCCAAGAACGCATTTGGCTACCCTTTGTTTACCCTCATTGCTATTGCACGCCGACGCATGTAATGCATTCAACTATTCTTCCTCCATTGCTCCTACTCTACTTAACCAAACATATCATATCTTGCTTATTTGCCTTTCAAACGGGTTTACGTATAACCCAACCTTTGCTACGACTCTGCTCTATGTCCCAACCCCAACGCATGTAATGCAATTCAACTATCCTCCCAATAAACGTGTTTCATTGCTTGCTTACCTTGCTGTGTTTTGAGGTACTCTTCATGAATTTCCTCATCGGTGGCATCAGGGTGCTGCCTAGCATATTGAGCGATAAATTTTCTCTCGGACGCGTCCATATTGTCAAGTAATAAGAAAAGAACGGGAGGCAATCATAACGCCGAAAATCATTTCACCGACGTAATATTTCGCCGACGATCATTTCACCGAAAATCAT